ACGTTTTTCTATAATTTCTTTAGTATTACCAGTAGCACAGGGTAAAACATAATTTCCATCTGCAGAACAGTATTTTCTAAAAATTTAGGATAGTAAATCACAAGATACTGATTTAGTATTTTGCATGGTACATTGAATAAATGATTATACACAAATCTGGTTATATCCTGAGGCCTCACATTCAATTTGTCATGGAATCCTTTAAGACTCTAGACAATACACATATGTTTTGCTTCTGATCAAAAATACACTCTTCCCACCTCTAAGAATAGTATGTTTTAGACCCACCAATTACTTTAGCCCTGAATCTGAAAGGCTATCTAAAGATCCAGCTGGGGGAAGGAAAATACCCTGAAGACATAATTTTTATTTGTAAAACATAGTTATTAAAAAACATAGGTGAAAACAGTGTGCTTTAAAACATTTTCCCAATGTCATTTTATTGACTGTACAAGTGTAAATATTACACTCTACCAGATAAAATAAACCAGTGCTTTTCTGGTTTGTTCAATCGTCACTGTATTTTGATAACCACTCAGGGAATTCAGAGTCAATCCACATTGAAACCGAATGCCTTGGAAGGAAAGACAGTTTCATGATGCATTAAAACAGAATGTGTTTTACTAAATATTTGATAATATACTAGATATTGAGATACTCGGTTGCCAGTATGACTGTCTTCCTTATTTGGGATTGGGCATTTCTTAGAGTGCACCTACTGAAAATTATGATTAGGCAAGCTTGTTCAGTTTGTGATTTTTAGCATTAACAAAATGTCTTTTCCCCAAGTGCTTGAAGTGAAGGAAAGAGATTGATGTACTAGTTTTTTTTAACCTTTTACTCCTTTACCCTATGCTTATGCTTTAACCTTCAATTCCATTCCTATTCTGCTTCCAAAAATGGTGAACAGATGTGAAATATAGTCAGGAATAGGAGCACAGTCAGTTTGAAGGGGCAGAAAAATATTGATTCTGATTATTCATTTTCAGATCCTTCAACAATTCAGAGTTTTTAT